AGGCTTCAATATGGATTGCATTTCAACAACAGGAAAACAAAAATTCTTGCCACTGAACAATGTCATGATGGATGGAGAAAGGATTGAAATTGTCAACAACTTCAGCTTACTTGGTTCCCCAATCAATCCTCTTGATACAAGCTCTCACAGATCAGGAGACATATTGCACTGGGAAAGTCTGTAGTCAGGGACCTTTCCTAATTATTGAGGACTAATGATGTCAGTTTGAGGACTAAGGTGCACCTGATTCAGGTCATGGTCACCTGAATCATTTGCCTCACCTGAGAGCTGGACAATAAATAAGGATGACAGAAAAACTGATGCCTTTGAACTGTGGTATTGGAGAAAAATGCTGAACATCCCAAGGTCTGCCAAAATATCAAACAGATATGTCTTTGAGAAGATGCAGCCAGAATGTTTCTTGGAGGCAAGGATGGTGAATCTTTGTCCCATATATTGTGGGCATGCTGTGCTGCTAGGAGAGGTTATTCACTGGAGGGGGACACCATCCTTGGGAAGGTAAGGGATGGCAAAAGAGAGGAAGACTTTCACTAGGTGGGTTAATATGGTGACTGTGGCTATGGACTTGACTTTGTCAGAGATTGTGAAAATGGCACACATGGGATAGGACACGTTTCAGATCTATTGTTCATAGGGTGGCTATGAGTCGTACTTGACTTGAAGGTACCTAACAACAGCAACAACAACAACAACAACATAATGGGAGTCTGATTGAAATCCTTTTCATGTTGACATGAACAATCAACAATCACAAAGGAGAAAGTAAAAAGAAAAAATTAGTTGGAGGACTTCTTTCAAATTTTCACTATTTTGGTATCAAAAATTCCTTAACAGATTCAACACGCTCCATTACAATTCAGTACTAGGGATATTATAGCTAATGTTAGATGGATCTTGGCAGAAAGCAGAGAATACCAGAAGAATGTCCATCTGTACTTCAATGACTATGCAAAGGCTTTTGACTGTGTGGATCACAACAAGCTATGGCTGACTCTGAGAAGAATGGGAATCCCAAAACATTTGATCGTGCTAACGCGAAACCTATACTTGGACCAAGAGGCAGTCATCAGAACAGAGCAGGGAGACACTGGATGGTTCAAAATCAAGAAGGGGGTTCGTCAGGGATGTATTTTGTCTTCATACCTTTTCAATCTGTATGCAGAACAGATCATCCGAGACGCTGGGCTGTACGAGGAATGTGGCATCAGGATTGGTGGAAGAATCATCAACAACCTGCGTTATGCAGATGACACTGAGGAGGACCTGAAGCACTTACTGCAGAATGTCATGGACGGCAGCCTTCAATATGGATTGAAGCTCAATATCAAGAAAACAAAGATTCTCACCACTGGCCCAATTGGCAGCCTCAGTATGGATGGTGAATAGGTTGAGATAGTTTAATAGTTTTAGTTTACTTTGTTCCACAGTCAGCACTCTTGGTAACAGCAGCAAGGAAATCAGGAGACGAATTACATTGGGACAGTCAGCTGTGAGGGACCTCTCAAGAGTCCTGAAGAGCAACGGCATCAGGCTGGAGACTAAGGTGTGCCTGATCCAGGCTATAGTCTTTACAATTATGTGCTATGCATTGGAGAGTTGGACAGTGAATAGGGATGATAGAAGGAGAATTGATGCCTTTGAGCTGTGGTGCTGGAGAAGAATGTTGAATATACCATGGACTACTAGGAGAACAAACAGATTTGTCCTGGAGAGGGTGAAGCCAGGCTGCTCCTTGGAAGCAAGGATTCTGAAGCTTCGTCTGACATACTTTGGGCATGTTGTAAGGAGGGACTGGTCCTTGGAGAGGGACATCGTGTTTGGGAGAGTGGAGGGATGGTGCAGGAGAGGAAGACCCTCAAAGACATGGATCGATTCTGTGAGTGGAGTGGTGGGAATGAGTGTGTTTGAGATAGCGAGTTTGGCACAGGATAGAGTGGTGTTTAGGGCTCTTGTACATAGGGTCACTATGAGTCACAAGCGACTCGATGGCACATAACAACAACAACAACAACAACAACAACCATGAGGATAGTTTTTTCTTCCTTCATCATTTATTCCTAGACTGCATGATAATGTTTCACATTTATAAAGATAATTTTATTGGCCATACTTAGCATACCAGTAAGGAGCTGTGGTGGTACACAGTGGTCAGTTCATCAGTTCAAATGCACCACTTCATTCACTGAGAAAGATGTGCTTTATAGAGACATGCAGCTTTGGAAATGGGTTCACTTCCTTTTTGAATAGGGCAGTCCTATTCTTGTGGATTTGTTATTTTCTTTAGCTTCAACTTCAAACTGTGTCTGAGCAATTGATGGTCCATTCTACAGTCATTTCCTTGCTTTGTTCTGAGTGATGACATAGAATTTCTTCAGTAGATGTAGGTGATTTGATTCCTGTGTATCCAATCTGCCAAAACTCATGTGTATAATCATTTATGCAATTGATGGAAGGTATTGCCAGTGAACAAGTCATTTATCTTGAAAAACTCACTGGACCTCCACTGTTGTTTCTTTCCTTAAGGTCCTTTTTCTAACCATTGATTCTTTTTAGTTAAGAAGTTGGACATTCCAACCACCAGTAATTATTGGTGCCATTTGATTGCATATCAATTTCAGATTGCATAAATTGGTAAATATCTTCAATTTCTTCAGTTTTCGCATTAGTAGCTGGTAAATAAACTTGTATAATAGTCACCTTAACCAGTCATTCTTATGTTGCTGTTGTTATGTTTCATCAAGTGGGAACCAACTTATAGCTGACCCTTCAGTGGGTTTTCAGAAGCTGTAAATCTCATGGGAAGAGCTTGGCCTTCTTTCTCCTAGACAGCAGCTGGTGGATTAGAATCTCATGCCTTCAGGTTGGAAGTATATCTCCTTACCACTAGGTCACCAGAAAACTCCATGTGTCTTGTAGGTGTATGGATATTATCTTGTTGTGATACTTCAAGATCCTGAAATGTTCTTTTGACAGTGTGATCCTATTCCTCTTTATGTTTTCAATCTGTCACTGACTCTGAGAAAATAAGAATCCCAGAATGTTTGATCATGCTAATGCAATATCTATACTTGGACCAGGAGGCAGTTGTCAGAACAGAGCAAGGAAACACTGCATGGTTCAAAATTGGGAAGGGTGTATGCGAGCAATGTGTCCTATCTCCATACCTTTTCAACTTATGTGCAGAACAGATTATTAACAGGAGGTTGGGCTATATGAGGAGAAGTGTGGCATCAGGATTGGTGGAAGATTCATCAACAATCTACATTATGTAGATGACACCCTGCTTGCTGAATCTGAGGACCTGAAGTGCTTGCTGCAGAAGGTCAAGAACTGCAGTCTTTAATATAGATTGAGGCTCAATATCAAGAAGACAAAGATTCTCACCATTGGGCCAATTGGCAGTATCAAGATGGATGGTGAAGAGATTGAGATTGTTAACAGCTTTAGTTTGCTTGGCTCCACAGTCAACGCTCTTGGCACCAGCAGCCAGGAAATTAAAAGACATATTGTGATGGGAAAGTCTGTTGTTAGGGACCTCTCCAAAGTACTGAGGAGCAATGGTGTCACTCTGGAGACTAAGGTGCATCTGATATAGGCCATGGTCTTTGCAATCACTTGCTATGCATCAGAGAGCTGGAAAATGACTAGGGAGGATAGAAGGAGAATTGATGCCTTTGAGCTGTGGCGTTGGAGAGGTGTATTGAATGTACCATGGACTGCTAAGAAAATGAACAGGTTCTTCCAGGAGAGGGTTAATCCAGGCTGCTCCTTGGAGTCAAGGATTCTGAAGCTTCATCTGATATGCTTTGGACATGTTGCAAGGAGGGACCAGGCCTTGGAGAAGAATGTCATGCTTGGGAGGTGGAAAGACAATACAGGAGAGGAAGACCCTCTATAAGGTGGATTGATTCAGTGACTGGGGCAGGTGTGTTGGAGACAGTGAGACTGACACAGGATAGGGCAGAGTTTATGGCTGTTGTACATAGGGTTGCTATGAGTCACAGAGGACTAGGTGGCACATAACAAGAATTATATTAGTGGAACGTATGACTGTCTAATTTAAAATGCCTATACTATGGCTCTTCAAGTATTCTATTTCATTTGTTTTAAACTTTCAGGTTTTTTTTTAAAATTTATTCATAATTCACACACTCCATGTTCCAATTACTAACATATCCTTGCAGTTGACCTTCATACATACCAGTAAGGCCAGCCAGCCAGCTCTCTTCTGAGCAGGCAAACCTCTTCAGACGTATTTTGAGTATTGTTCAACCAGAGGTGCTCATCTTTTAGACTTTTATCAAGCTAATGTTCTTCTGCTATTCATATGCCTCCACTGGCTAAATTATAAAGAAATAAATTGCCAGGTCCTCCTCAGTCTAGAAGTCCATCGTAGTCTGGATGCTCCACGGAACCTCATGGATCTTGGATGATGATGCTGGTATTTGAAGTATAAGTCACATAGCATCCAGCATCAGGAAAAACCTTAGACAAGTGGTGGTCTGATTCCTAGATCTTGGGTTTATGGTCCTGATTTCATCCACAAGTAGAAAAGTTGAATCATAGTGTCTCGTTTAAGAAGAGAAAAGCCCTCAGCTTACACTTGATTCCCGTTCTCCACTTTGTTAGTCAATTTTATGACCTAGTTACTTGTCTCCTAAAACATAAGACGAACCAGATAGACATATTCCTGCCTTCCTAGTATATCACGAAATCATCAGTAGAGAACTTAGCAGAGATCAGCACAAGAGAACTGGTACGGTTTACGGCCACTGAATGAACTGTTGTGCACCATGGAGTCGGGACTGACTCCTAGCTCACCCGACCGCAAGGCAGTAAATCTCAGAAGAGGAGATGGTCCATCCTTTTCAGCCGAGCAGCTGGGGGATTCGAACCTTGTGCCTTTGATATGACAGCACAATTCCTTACCACCAGTTGTCAGTTATCCGGCTCCCTGGGAGGACCGCTAAGCCGCCCGGATGGCAGGGAAAGCAGAGGCCGGTGGCGCAGAGATGCGCGCAGGTGAGAGGCTCTTACTGGACAAAGGTAAGTTCCCCCACCCTCCCTGGCCCAGGCCTCATTTCCCCGAACCCAGAAGCACGTCTTCAGGGTCACCTCCCTCCTCTGTCTGGGCGGTGACCACCGTGCGGTCACTCCGCCTCCTGCACGCTTGGGACGCGGTCCCCTGGGAAACGGACGCGCCACTCCCCCCGGGCCAGCTGGGCGCCGCGAGCCTCGCCCCGGGCGCAGACGCGCGGCTTCGAGCAGTCGCAGGTGGGGCGTGGGGCCGCGCTCGGGGAAGGAGAGGGGCGCCGGCTGCAGTGCTTCCCCTCGGCGGTGGCCCACGAAGCTCGGAGTCTCCGGGACGCCCCAGGACCCCGCGAAGCGCCGGCCTGGAGGAGCCGGGCTCGATGGAGTTAGAGGAGGAAGAGGAGGAGGAGGAGAGCCGGAGAGCGCGGAGTTTCGTGCAGGACGCGCGGGTGCGCTTCGTCGGCGGCCGCCTGGAGCAGATGCTGAGGCTCCGGGAGGGGAGATGGAGTCAGTATCTGGAGAGCCCAGAGCACCGGCAGGATCTGGGCGCGTTTCTGGACAGCGCCAGCCCCGACTGCCTTCTGTTCTGCACAGGCGCCGCGGGGCGGCTCGTGGCCTCTCCGGAGGTAAGGGGGCCCGGGACGCGGCCACACGCCACCCAGCCGGCGCCAAGTCCAAGTCCGGGTGCGCGCTTCCGGTTCCAGAGGGCCGCTCACAACAACTTCACCCCAATCCCTGCCCTGAAGTCTGCTGAGCTTCCCCACTTTGGCACGTAACCGCTGGGTTCCCACCCCACTGCCATCAGGGCGATTGCGTTAACAGCCCCTGTTGGAGGGTCGGCAGGTTGCAGTTGCCTACTTTTTGGCCAGTACTGAATATTTTTAACTCCGATGCGTCAGGGTTCCTTGGCTCGAGGCGCCCACTAACCCAAGGGGCCCGGTAGATGGATATGCATCGCTTTCTGAGGCTGTAAATCTTCGCAGGAGGAGACTGCTCGTGGAGCCGCTGGTGGATTTGAACCGCTCACCTCCCAGTTCGCAGTTAGTTATGCACTATGCCACCAGTTTATCAGCAGACAAGGAGATAGAATAATTAACTGCTATGTTTAACTAGGTTAAATCCGCCCCGTGTTATCTAAAGAAAGGGCTCCATACGTCATACGTGTGGACATAACCAGATTATGTTGGTCAAGCATTTTTAGCCGTTGACTTGAGGGTAAAACACAAATCAGCCTCTGTGTGGCCTTTACAGCAGTTTGGTTTATTTCTTAACAAGGAAGGAGCAGAAAAGAGAATAGCCTTTGCAAAGATTGAAACATTCCACATGCTCCTTTGTTTTTACATAGGAGATTTTATGGTATTTAATGATGTCTCGCAATTGATGTGGCTAAAGGTGACATTTTCACACCAATAATACTGTGAAATTAGTATTATAAAAGAACAAAGAAAACCGTGTACCTTTTGTGGAACAGGGGAGACAGTGTAGCAGCCTTATTTGTAAAAGGAGGCAAGATGCCAAGTTTGTTTCTCCTGCTACCAGTTGGGTTCTGTGCTGGGTAAATTCCTCCTTGCTAACGGGAAACTATAGTAGGAACGTGAGTAACTAATTATCTTGCTTTTGTTTCAGATTCCCGCAAATACAAAGCAAAAACATGTTTATATTACCAAGAAAATTACAGAAAGCCCTGGAGTAAATAATTTGGCTCAAACTTTTTTATTTGGAGAATTACCTGCATCATCTCTTGGACATGTCACTACTTTCCTAGATGAGGTACTAGTGTTTTTACTCTTTGGATTTTTCGTTTATCTTCATGACAGTTGGGACAATGGGGGAATAGCTCCGGCTAGAAAAAAGAAGATAATGAAACGAATGATAGAGTTTGGGATATTTTCCTAAAATGAGCTCATGTTTCAGTAGTTGGTAATTGGGGAGGATAGGTAACTTTGCTTTTCTTTCTCTCCTTCCTTCCTTTTAAACAACATTAATAAGTTATAATAATAATAAAATTTAAAACACTTGAATTAAATGAACACTTGTACTTAACTCTAGGTTTTTTACTTGAAGAGTTAGAGATACACTTTGGAAGTAGTAGTTGTTGTTGATTGCCTTCATGTCAAGTATGACTCAAAAGATCCTATGAACAAAAGGTTTGAAGCCCCTCTACAACTATTGAAATTTATCAAAGTTCATAGGGTTTCTGGAGGCATGTTATTTAGGAAGTGGATGCCACTCCTGCTTCCAGTTGGAAATAGTAGGTATTAGTTTTTCAGATTCTTCTTAGATTTTGAATGACATGTGTATGTTAGATAGGAAAAAATTATGGAGAGTGATGTAAATCCTTGCCTTTAAAGCTTTATTTTCCTCCCCTTAAGTGAGAGAATTCCTCTTTAAACCAGTGTTACTTGACTCTAATGTGCATAAGAACCACCTGGGGATTTTGTTAAAGGCAGAATGATTTGATCAGTCTCAGGTGAAGCCCAGTCTTTTTCTGTGTTGTTAAAAAAACTCTATGATGTTGCTTGTTCACGGACCAGCATGCCAGGTGCTAAATGAACCAGAGCAAGTGGCTCTCAACTTCCTGAACAGTAGAATCACCTGGGAGAAACTTCTAACACACCACTGTCAATCTGAGGGTGGGAGCCAGGTCCCAATAATTGTTAAAGATCCCTAAGTAATTTGGTTGTGCAGTAAAGTTTAGGAACCACTCAGATAAGCTATCTACTTGGTTACTTCTAACATTTAAATTGCTAAATCAGACTTACTCTAAGTAATCCTGCCAAGGGCAATATTTAAGGTTGATATCATCATCAACATTTATTACTGATGATTCACGGATCCCTTTCTCCTTTTCTACCCCTCCCCCCACCTTTTCTACATTATCTCTTTGCTATCCTCATAAGACATTTTCTTAACTGTCTTTGGCCTCACCAAAGCCTCTTATTCCCAACTTTGTACCCTACCTAGGCTTTCCTTGCCTGCATTGCTGAATGTTCTTGGCATTAGCTGATTTTTACATGAGGCCAGAGGGAGTATTTTCCATTTTCAACATTTGAAACATATGTATCTGTATGTGTTTCTTTGTGGTTCTGCCTTCACTTCTGGGCATTGCTGGGTCATATGATATTTCTGTGGTCCAATTTTTGCGGTTCCACCATGCTGTTTTCCACAATGATTGCACTGGACTGATTTACATTCTTACTAGAAATGGATGGGTGTTCCATTTTCTCTAGCAGCTTCACCAGCTTGCATTTTTTAAACTTTTTAGTCTTTGTTGTTGTAACAGGCAAGGTTGTGTTTCACTGTCTTGTTTCTTTGGTTTTCACTGTCTGATGACTATTGAAGATGAACACCTTTTCATATGCTTGTTGACCATTTGAATATAATTTTGATAGAATTCAGTACAATGTACATTCCAATGACATTCCTTTGGTTAAGTCCCTTGCCTGGTTTTTGATTGGATCACCTACCTTTCTGATAAGATATAGCAACAGTGTGTTATCAGATACTGTAAATACCTAGTGAGCAACTGTCCATAGAGAGAGGCAGGGAAGGAAGAAATTCTCGAGTACTCATAAATCTTGATTTGCCTTAAGGAAATGCACTACTGAATTACACTGAATCTTATTATTAAAAGCAAAACAAAACCCTATATTGGCAGCATCAGGATGGATGGTGAAGAGATTGAGATTGTTAACAGCTTTAGTTTGCTTGGCTCCACAGTCAACACTCTTGGCACCAGCAGCCAGGAAATTAAAAGACACATTGTGATGGGAAAGTCTGTTGTTAGGGACCTCTCCAAAGTACTGAAGAGCAATGGTGTCACTCTGGAGACTAAGGTGTGCCTGATACAGGCCATGGTCTTTGCAATCACTTGCTATGCATCAGAGAGTTGGACAATGACTAGGGAGGATAGAAGGAGAATTGATGCCTTTGAGCTATGATGTTGGAGAAGAGTATTGAATATACCATGGACTACTAAGAAAACAAACAGGTTCATCCTAGAGAGGATTAAACCAGGCTGCTCCTTGGAGTCAAGGATTCTGAAGCTTCGTCTGACATACTTTGGACATGTTGAAAGGAGAGACCAGTCCTTGGAGAAGGTCCTCATGTTTGGGAGGTGAAGGGACAGTGCAGGAGAGGATGAGGTGGATTGATTCAGTGACTGGGGTAATGGGGGTAGGTGTGTAAGAGACAGTGAGATTTGTACAGGATAAGGCAGGGTTTAGGGCTGTTGTACATAGGGTTTCTATGAGTCACAAACAACTTGATGGCACATAACCACAACAATATATTTTTCACATCGGATCTTTCCCATTTCCTTAATCCACCCCTCCCTCCACTCATCACACATGCGACTCTTATGGTTACTTATCCCCACCCTTACCCCTCTGCTCCCCTCTTAGATCCTCATACATGTTTTACTGGTTATCTATTTCTATACACACAATGATGGTCTTATACTGTACTTGTGTTTAGGACAATTCTTAAACCAAGAATCATAGCTTCTGTCCTAATCCGTTTAGAAGGGCTACAGCTATTTCTAATTCATGTTTGTATTCCTAACTTTAGGAATTGTCTTAATTTTCTAGTGCTGCTGGAGCAAATACAAGTATAGAAGAGCCGTGTATATTTTCACAGTTCAGGAGACAACAAATCCAAACCAGGGTCTTGGCCTGTTGGTTCTGCCCTTGTGATTGGCTTTCCTTGGCTCTTGGTGAATCCCACATGACATCCCTCTTCCTAAATATGTGCTTGTCTAAGTGAATTTTTATACCTCAAAAGTTGTTAGATATAGACACAACCTACATTATGATCTAATTAACATAACATTTATTTGCCTTGTGAAGTGATTCCAGTAGACTGCATCTACTAGTTTTTATTGTTAGATGTCCAATATCCCGTCAACTGCCAAAGGAGAAAAAGATATGCTTATGGAGATGGTGTGGCCATGGTGTTCCTGGAGGCAAGGATGGTGAAGCTTCATCTTTCACACTTGGGACAGTAGCTAGGCAAGGCTAATCTTTGGAAAGGGACTTCATGTTTAGGAAGGTGGAGGGTCAGTGAGGGGGAGGAAGACCCCCCCCCCAATGAGGTGGATTGACATAGTGACTTCAACAGTGGGCTTGAGTATGTTAGAGATGATGAGGATGGTCTAGGATAGGGCAGGGTTCACGTTGGCTGTTCATAGTGTCGCTGTGAGTTGTATTTGACTCAACAGCACCTAGGATTTAGGATTCCAACATGTATTTTGCAACGAGATAGGTCAAACTATAGCAATAATTTGGAGAGTTTGGTATCTGCATTAATAGAAAACAAAAAGGAATCTTCAGTTTTATTTTTAATTAACTAATAGATTGTATTTTCAACATAAATTTTTAAAAGAGAGGATAGCTCTTTTCTGAGTATGTTAATGAAAATTTTTGTGTAATTATGAAACACTAGCTTGATTATATTAGAAAAAAAAATATTTGCTGTTGGAATAGGACTAGAAGGGTGTTGGAAAGCCAGAAGATACCAACCTCATTTACCCAAGGAATTCTTTTAATATATGCAATGCTCTGGGAATGGAAAAGAGTAACGTTAAGGGTTTTTACATAATTTGTCTCAATAATATTCTCAATTTTATGGTAGAAGAATTGCTGGCAAATGTGATTTGATAAACATCTTTCTGACTGCTCAAACTATTGGGATGCTACTTGACTGTAAGATTAATTTACTCCAAACTTGCCTGTGATTCAAAGAGATTTTTTCCATTAATACAACTCTCCCTGTTTTCCATTTGCGTTAAAAAGACAGTTTACTTTCTTGACTTGATTTACCTTATTTCCTGCAACATTTATAGAGATCCTATATAAATGCCTGATCAGTGGGAGAATGACTAGAAGCAGTATATAGGATTTTTACTTTGAAGGAATTTATGTCTAATTGATTAAGTCTAAATGGTTCACTGCCTTTTCTCTCTCTCTGTAGAGATGGCAGCTTATGAAATGGAGCGGTTTTGTTGCTGATTTTGTATGATGAGAAAGTCTTTGAAGGGTGTATTGACTGTAAATGAATTTAACAGCTATGTATGATGTTTCTCCTTTTCTAGATTTTAGTACCGATTCTTTCAAACAAGAGCAACCATAAATCTTGGTCCTGTTTTATTTCACAAGATATGGAATGTCACATAGAAGTCATGAAATACAAAATGCATATTTTTAGAGGCAAAATAGCAGGACGGACTCTTCTACCAATCCCCACTATTGCAAGAAATATTGACCTGGATCAGAATTATTTAGAAACCAAGTAGGTAACTATATAGTAGCTTATAGTTAACTATAAGCCCAACTAAAACCAGTTGCCGTGGAATTGATTCTAACTCATTGAGATCATGTGTGTGTATAACAGAACTGCACTCCATAGAATAGTCAAGGCTGTGGCATCTCAGAAGCAATCTTTTTTTTCCCCGAGACATTTTTAGGTAGATTCAAACTGCCAACCGTAGGTTCAGCAGTTGAGTGCTTAAGTGTTTGTGTTACCCAAGGACTCCAGATATAGTTATATACGAGCTATTACAATTCAGATCCAGTATATTAATATTACACTCTCAGAGAACTGGTAATAGAATATAGAATTTGTACAACTCGTCATGTTTTAAAAAAGTGCAGAAATATTGTGCTTTGTTTACTTCAAAATATGGTTTTAAAAAGCAAACTATAACTATTGCTATGATATCAATTATGGAATTCTTTAGTATAATGCTTTGAGGATAATTCTTTAAAAGGGTTTTTAATGGAAAAGACATGTCAATGACAATACATTGTGACGACAACAAAAATCAAGACCATAAGAATAATACCTATCTGATTTTAAAGTATTTATGCTTCGAAAACTAGTTTGTGAATACATAAAATACCTATTAAATTATAAGTGCTATTGATATTTGAGTCAAATGATTAACCTTTGAATTACTCTTTTTCAACATTTGTAGGCTAGAGGCAAATGAAAGGCTAATATTACATGCCACTGAATCTGTGGTTATTAAGTGGTCACATCAAATTCAAGAAATTGTCGAGAAAGATTCAGTGCAGCCTTTTCTGAATGGTCTTCACTTGAATCCTCAAACTGAGTTAGATTTTTGGAAAAGGAGAAAAGACAACTTATCATGTATTTATGATCAAGTAAGTAGATAGCCTTTCTGTCTCGCCTCTAAATCCAGCTGTTGGTGTTGTTTATTGCCCTTGCGTGGGAACTGACTCACAGCTGATGCTCTAGTAGATTTTCAGAGTCTGGAGTTTGCACCAGAGGAAATTGACCATCTTTCCCTCATGGAGCAGCTTAGTGGATCCGAGCCTCATTCCTTGAAGTTGAGTGCTCCCTTCATTCAAGTACAAAGTGGGATTTGGTTTCTGGAGCAGTCACGTCCATTGTCATTTTGAGAATATGTATTTGAGATAATTGGAAACATTTTGTGACATTGGAGATGGAATGGTTCCCCTGAGAATCATAAAAGATTGTAAACTAATTAATGTAGTCAATTCAATTGATTTGGGAAGGAGTAGGATCTTGTCTAATGGAGACAACAATTTTGAAGCTGTTTTTCCTCTGATAGGTCTTGTCATGCTGGTTACTTAATATTTTAACTACGACATACATTCATGTGTTTCTCAAATGTTCTGTAAAAGAGCAAATATTCTTATGTGGAAAATAAATCTTTCCATGAATATTAATAGGTAATGGACTGATTTTTTTTTTTAATTGAGGAACCATAAATGTAAAACAATATATAAGCTTAAGGGGGGAAAATTCTAGTTTTCACCTTGAAACCATTGAGTATTACACTGTGTCTGTGTATGAGTGGAATGTAATTTTTTATTTTGTTACAAAATGTAGTTAGTTAGTAATTAATCTTGCTTATCTTTTTCCTTCATTTAGCTCCAGGCTCCTGTTGTCCTCAAAATGGTTAAGATCCTGAAAACAAAACAAAGCAGCTATTTTCCAACTTTGAAAGCCATTTTCACAACAGTGGAAAATGGTGAGACATTTACGTATTTTGGACTTAGAGCCCCTCATGATCTAGCTCTTACCTATGCAGTCCCCTCAGATTCTCGGGTTAGCATGTTCATGATTAGTCCTGGTTTCTCTAATGATAAAGCACCTCACCCTTTGTCCTACAGCTATACCATTTTTCTTAGTTTATCTGCTATATGGTAGATGTGTACAAAAATTGTGGCTCTAGCTTGAAGTTGCTGTTAATATATATATACATGACTAGTACACACATATGAATGCATGTTTTAATACATATAACATTGATTTTACCATTTTAAGCATACAGTTCAGTGGCACTAGTTGTATTCACAGTATTATATAAGCATCATCAATATTGGTTTCTAAAACTTTTTCACCAACCCAAACAGAAACCCTGTACTGGTTATTCAGTAGCTCCCATTCCTTGCTTAACTCTTAACCCATGATAGCTACAAATCTACTTTCTGTCTCTCTTGGTTTGCCTATTTCAGATTTTAATATAGTGAATCAGACAATATTTGTCCTTTTGTGTCTGACTTATTACATTCTGCATAATGTTCTCAAAGGTCATTTATATTGTAGCAGGTGTCAGAATGCCACTTCTCTTTATGAGTGAGTAATAATTGGAAATTGTATGAATGGGCCACACTTGGTTTATCCATTCATCTGTGGAACATTTGAGCAGTTTCTATTTTGGCTTCAGAATGAATATTTTATTAGTGTGTCTGTGTTTGGTATTTTGTTGCTATTGTGTGCTGTCAAGTCAGAACTGGCCCATAGCTGACCCTCCAGCAGGTTTCCAGAGGCAGTTAATTGCAGGGGAGGAGATTACCCATCCTCCCGCAGAGCAGCTGGTGGATTCGAACTGTATGCCTTTGGGATTGTAGTGCAGTTTATAGCCCTAAATGATCTGCCCTCTGCTGGCCTCTCTGTCTTCTCTCTCTTCTTCCACACCTTGTTCTTTTTGGTGCCATCAAGTCAACGCTGCCTTATAGTGACCAATGTGATGGAGCAGAACTGCCCCAGAGGTTGTCTAGATTGAATCTTTGTGGGAACATATCACCATGTCTTTTTCCTGCTGGTGGGTTTGAACCACCAATCTTTTAATTAGGGGCCCAAAGCTTACCCATTGTACCACCAGGACTCCTTATTCTGCATTTTAACTTGAACTCCCTTACTGCTGTGGAGTGGGAACCAACTCAAAGCTGACCCTTTAGATCAATCCAGCCAAACCCACAGCCATGGAATCAAGGCCAACACCCAGCCAGCCTCCCCACCTCTGGCTTCCAAGACGAAAAGTATTTACGGGAGGAGACTGCCCATTTTTCTCCTATGGCATTGGTTCTTGTTGTTGATTGCCTACAAGTTGAGCATGACTCATAGAGGCCCTATGAACAAAAGGCCTGAAGTCCCTCTACAACTATCAACATTTATCAAAGTTTATAGAGTTCCCGGAGGCAAAGGCCTGCATAAAAATTTTCTGCTTAAAAGTTTGGCCTATAATTCATCCAGTTATTTACCATTGGGATCTCTGAATGGCTGGGAATTCTTTAATTTCAGGATAGGTTATGCATAGATAGGGAGCTGTGGTGCCCTAGTGGTAAGAAGCTGCACTTCAATCCTGAAGGCACGCAGTTCAAACCCACCAGCTGCTCTGTGGAAGAAGGATGAGCAATATCCTGCCACTGAAAACCTGCTGGAAGGTCAGCTGACTCAACAGTACACAGCAGTTGCATACATGTTGCTAAATAATTGAAACTGCAAAACGCATCGAGTGAGAAATCTCCCAGCCTAATTCTCCTCACATACAGAGATCACAGCCCATCCTAGCCTTGACTTCTATTTATCTTTCTTTATGCATTCTTAAGCTGATAAGAATATAAGAAAACCAGGAGTGGTGTAGATTCTAACTTATATGGACCCTATAGGACTCTGAGTAGAACTGCTCAGAGAGTTCCAAAGGCTGTGATCTTTATTGAAATCACAACTTCTCCCCACAGAGAAGCTGGTGGGTTCCAACCAAAAACTTCTGATTAGCATCAGAGCATATAATCACTGTGCCACCAATGATTTTTAATATGAATGTTATTTTTTTTTTTTTGGTTATATGCCACTGAGTTGGAACTGACTCAAAGCTGATACTCCAGAGAGTTTTCAGAGGCAGTAACTATTTGGGAAGGGGCTGTGCTTCTGTCTCCCACAGAGCAGCTGGCAGATTCAAACTGGGTGGCTTTGGGTTGGCAGCATCACACCTTACCCACCAGGCCACCAGAGCTCCCTAGGATGAATATACATGCTACTAAATATTTAAATAAAATCCTAAAAGATAATATGAACAATCTTTTTGAGAGGTCTGTTTCTAACATTAGAAAATAACATTTTAGTTCACTTCCCCCCCATGTGACAACTGGACAGTTAGGAAATATCCTACTTTGGAAATGTTTTGATATTTCTTTAAGATATTCTCTCTGAATTTGGTTTGAAAAGAAAGTCTGAAGTATAGGAGTGGGTCCTTGGGCTTGGTGGTCTGTCAGAAGCAGTTTTTTATTCCAGTTCCACTTATTATGTCTGGAATTTGTGGACCTTCTGAGTTTTCATTGGCCAAATTGGCATCTCAACACCTTCCTTTTAGCATTTGTACAAGAATTAGGTCTTTTCAGCCTTGCCTACATTTTGGAATGGTTGATTTTTATTATGGGGATTGTCTTGGGCAATATTTAGAAGCCTGTCTGACCTCTTTTGAGCTCTAGTGGTTTAATGGTAATTGTGCTTCCAACCCAAAGGTCCGCAGTTCAAATCCACCAACTGCTCTGAGGGAGAAGGATGGGCGTTCTTCTCCTGTGCTATTTACTGCCTCTGAAAACCCACTGGAGGGCCAGCTGTGGGTTGGTTCCAACTCGATGACACACAACATCACCACATCAATATGACAACCAAGTGTCTCTAGATGCTACCAAACTGATGGTTCTGTTGAAAGGAGTCTTGGTGGTGCAGTGGATTAAGTAATTGGGCTGCTACCCGAAAGATTAATGTTTTTTGGTTTTTTAAAATTTTTTTAAAGATTAATGTTTTTTGTTTTTTTAAAATTTTTTTTAAGATTAATGTTTTGAACCCATCAGTGGCTCCCCAGGGGAAGGATGAGACAGTCTGTTTCTTTTGTTTTTTTTAAGATTAATGTTTTGAACCCATCAGTGGCTCCCCAGGGGAAGGATGAGACAGTCTGTTTCTGTAAAGGTTCACAGCTTCACGGAGTTTTAGGGGAAGCACTATACTATCCTAGAGGGTTGGTGTGAGTTGAAACCCTCTCACCAGGAGAGGGTATTGTTTTGATTTTATGCTCTTGAAAACTGCTGCATTAGACATATTGTATATAAAGAACCAAGCACACAGCAACACCAAATCAAACCCTAGGCTGTTGAATTAATTCTAACTCATGGTGATTCCATGTACCACAGAGTGAGAGTGCTTCAGAGAGTTTTCTTCGCTTTAATTTGAATGGAAGCAGATTACCAGACCTCGTCCCCCACCCCCTTCTTTTTTAGATACCACTGGGTAGATTCAAGATATTGGCAGTTCAAAACATTTGTGCCTTTAAAAAAACCCCACAAACACAAACCATTTGTGCCAGCTAGGGCCCAACACAGTAGGATACTGTCAGCGAATCTCAAACTCATTGCCATCAAGTCAGGACTGACCTTTGCCTGACCCTGCAGCAGGTTTTGAGTGGCTGCAAATCACTTGGGAGGAGATTGCCCAGAATTCTCCCTCAGAGCCACTGATGGAGTCAGGTTGCCAGAAGAGCACAGCCTTTGGGCCAGCAGTGCCCTGTGGACTAGCCACCAGAGCTCCTGGCCTCAATGGATAGAAGTGGTTTTCTTTCTTTTTTTTTCCCCCCCATTGCTATGAGTAGAACATTTTCTGTGTATAAGTGTTCTATAGGAGTGAATCTCAAGGGTCATTAGTCTTCTGAGTATGTGACCTAGAGCTTCAGAAATAAACACTGTTCAGCAGAGAGACCTAAATCCATTGCCCGTTAAAGGTAGAAGGCACTTCTCAAAGACGTAGCTGAGAGCTGTAAAATCTCCAGATGGTTCTCACATTTTTGTAGCACTTTACTGTTAAATGAAATTACTTAAATTTGAAATTAGCATTGATAAGAATGTGCTAACTTCAAACAAAACACTTGGAAACAGAAATAGTTCTAAGATCCCATTTCTTTCTTTTCATGTGGGCATTAATTGGTGATATGTGAAGTGACAATCACTGTATGAGTTACTTTCACAGGAAGCTGGAATGATATACTTAACAATGAACTCAGGGGCAGATAGCAATTGAGAAGTGCCAGTCAGTCTGTAGGAGCAAACTGGGGCAGACTGCCTCGGTCCAGATTTGCAACCTCAGAAACTCATGCACAGTTCTCCTTTATCCTGCAGAGTGCCTGTGAGTTGGGATCATCTCAGCAGCTGGTTGGTTTGCTTTTGACTGACCATAGCAGTGCTTTCTTAATGGTCAAAGCCTGGCAATCGACTTTTGAAATTTAGCCAGTGAGAACCTTGAGGCTGATCTGACTTCCTGACGATTGCTGGTATATAAAGTGTGAAAACAGCTGTTGTTCCAAAGGTGTAGGGGGCTTGGCCACTGTTTTCACTGTCTGTGTTGGAATCCTGAAGAGGGTGAAATTTCTGTCACACAGCTTATTGTCTTAGAAACATTATTGTACAGATGGACTTTTATTTACATACACCTTTTACTCTGGCTTCTGAGTTTGCAGTGACTTCCTCTATCACCAATAAATGTTAGTAATTTTCTAACAACAACAAAAAGAAAACCCTGAGGTTCATGGATCACAGTGGAATGTTGCTTGAACAGAGCTGGAAGATGAGCCCTGTAGGCTAGAAGAGATTCAGAATACAGTGGCTACAAACATGGACTTGAGAACAGAGAGGATCAGGAAGATGGCCACGGGCTAGGAATGCTTGGTTCAGTTGTACAGGGGCCACTAGCAGTTGGAGTTGACTTGACATTAACTGACACTTCTCTTCCAAGTGATTGGATTACAATGAGTCTTGCAAACGGATCTTATGTACATTGTGATGAATAATATAAAAAGAAACATGGCAGTATTTAAATAAAAGTATCCTCTGCTTTTCAAAAGTTTGCATTACATCTGCTGTGCTTTTTTTTTTTTTAAATAACCACCTATGTTAGTCATTGCTTTTAAGGAAAAGTGATTTTTATAAATGGAAAGAAATCTGAAAAGGATTTTCACTTTTACCGGTACTCTACACACACACACACACACACACACACGCACAGGCTAAAAGGGAAACTGATGTGTATTTACAAGTTGTTAAAGAGGCAGCCTGCACCTGATAAGCAGCGGTGGCAAAGCCAGGCTCCTTCCGTGGCAACTACACACAGCCTCTCTGCATCCAGCCATCTCAGCTTTGAGCTGTGTTTGTGAACCATATATGTTTTTATTGTAACTCTAAACTATAGTTTTATTTTAGGTTTTATGTGTTATTTGGTAGGTCATTTTTTGAGATTTTGAGTTTTTCCCAAAACAGAACAAAAAGAATCTTAAGTTCATTACCATTGAATCTGAACTGATTCAGAGCTGACTCTCCCAAGAGACAGTTTTTCATCTTTGTCTTGCAGAGCACCTGGTGGATTTGAACAACTTGCCTTTGACTTTTCAGGCTAATTCCTTAGCCCATTTGGTCACCAGAGCCTCCTTTCCCCCATATAAGTTAATGGTAAATGTTTCTTTGCTTTGTATGATTTCTGTATACAAAAGGTCTACTTGAAATGCCCTGTTTTCAGGTAGTGAGGGAAGCCTGTAGTTCAAGGCCATGTAGCTGTAGCTGTACGTCGTATGTCTCTTGTGAAGTAACGTGAATCTCATTCACTGCTTTTCTGTGCTTGCAGCTCTCCAGGAAGCCCAGGACGTGGAGCTTCACCTGAGACCGCTGAGGAAACACATTCAACGTCTCCAGGAGGCAGAATTTCCACAGACAAGAATCTTCATCACCCCACTGTTTCATACCATCTGTCTGATCTGGAGTCATTCCACATTTTATAACACCCCTGGTCGGATTATAGTGTTACTGAAAGAGTTCTGTAATCTCTTCATTGACCAGGTATGTTTCACTAAAAAAGTAGGATTAATAAGAATCACTGTTAGAACAATTAGAGTCATTGTCACACAGGAGGTTTTATTAAACCAGATATGGACAGATAATCCCAGGATATAGTCAGAAAACCATTTTCATTTTTCAGAACGAATTTTTTTTTAGATTAAAAAAATTGTTTTTACGATGGTTTATTTACAAAGTTCATATTCATTGTTTTTCACACCAGATCGTTCCCATTTTCTTCACCCACCCTTCCTTCCACCCATCAAATTGTGCAACTCTGATTAATACCCACCCATCCTCACCCCACTGCTCTTCCCCTCCTCCTCCTCCTTGGATCCTCATACTCAGAAACAACTTTTATGGTAATAAAGAAACATTCACTTATTGACATCAAGTTGTAACTGACTTAAAACTTTATAGCTTCACACAGGGACAAATGGTGCCACTGTTGTAGAATGGGTCTGACATCAGGGTGGGGGTATGACAGAAAAAACTGGATAAATTATGTATATTGTATTGAAACAGATGAGGGAAAGAACAGATTAGAAGTGATATATGATTGAGTATTATGGTTAACACAGGAATCCAGAATTAAGGTTGCATAGAGAAGTGTACTCGGGGTGGGGGTTGGGGGAAGGGACGTGGGAATTGTATACTAATGAAGGAATTTTTTTTTCTCTCTTCGGAGGGGGAAGCGAGCTGGTGGGGAGGGGTGGGCAGGAAGAAAATTGCGGCAATGAATGAATGGAAATTCAAAACCTCTGTAAAAAACAAAACAAAAACTATAGCTTCATCAGGATTACCAAGGCTGTAAATTGCAAGAGCGGAGATTACCCATCTCTCTCCCACACAGCAGCTGGTGGATCTGCTTTTGGGTTGGCAGTGCAGCTCTTTATTCACTCGGCTACCAGAGCTCTTTTTATCCCAAGTAGCAAAGTAAGGAAACTCTAGAAAGAACTCAGGTACAGTCAAAGGAGGGCTTATTGTTGGATTTTGTTTGCTTAATATGCTACCTCTTCTATGCTATCTCTTCTTCAAAGAGATTTTTTTCTTTTTTTATTTTTTCTCCTTGTTGTGTACTGTCAAATGAGATGCTACTGACACAGGAGGAGATTGCCCCTCCTTCTCCAGAGGAACACCTGGTGGATTTGAACCATGTGCCTTTGGAATTACAGTGCAGTTTCTTGCCACTAGGCCACCAGAGCTCCCTCAAAGAGATTTCTAATACAAAACAGATGTGTGCACTTCCTCCTTTGTAGCTTTCCCTTTGGCTTTGACGAGAATGCTGACGCGAGCTTCTGAGGCAGTGTAGTTAAGAGATTCTGACTGGATGTGTATGTACACACATACATATTACATGTTGTTGTTGAGTATCATAGAGTCGGAACCGAGCCATAGCTGACCCTCCAGCAGGTTTGCAAAGGCAGTTAATTGCACAAGAGGAGATTGCCCATCCTACTACTGCTACATACAAGGAAGCTCTTGTGGCCTAGTCTGTAGGGAGTGTTGCTAATCCAAAGGCTGTATCCCTCTGGCAGTTTAAATCCACCAGTGCTCTGATGATGAAAGATGAATAATCTCCCATGCAGCTTACTGCCTCAGCATCCCAGTGAAGAGCCAGCTACAAGTTGGTTCTAACTCCAGAGCAGTGTGTTTTGAGTTTGAGTGTGTGTGTGGGATGTATACACTCAAATATACACTTAACAGGAACTCCATAAATAAAAATTAGTTGCTGTTTGTCTCTTGTTCAAACTATAGACTCATAGTCTAATTTCAACAACAAATAAGAGATAATACCTTATCTGTTCTTTTAGGTGTCTTATTTCCTCTGGTTTCCTTCTGTTTCTGCTTTGCTTTTGTAGTAACTCACTTGGCCCTACTGGTAACCACAGGCACAGGGTCCTAATGGCTGGAATCTCCAGGTGCAAGACCACAATGCTTGCTGTGGGATCAGGAACTGTAACCACTACCATTTTTAGCACTCTGCATCTCACTCTGAGAATAATAAAAATGCAAAACTCTGGTGATGGGCTAACCCCAGTGGTTAAGTTATTAACTCATTGGTATTAGATGACTTCGGAGGAGTCTTGGTTATGCATAAGCCTGTAAACCTATTATTTCTGGCCCCTATCTGTGTCTGTGACCAGAGTTTGCCAAACTCTGGCAGAAGGAAATATTGTGCTTCTCTTGTTTCTTTGTTACTATTTCAGGCTTCGGTCCAAAATCTCTGTTGACTTAATTATCTTGATTCCTCATGTGGCAGATCCTAGACTTTGTACTCAGTTTGTTCTAGCGAGTTAGGAATTAAAAATGAACAGTGAACCACCTTTCATACCTGGAAACCTCAAAGAGATGGACTGGGATGGCCTCGCCTCCTGCGTTGCTTGCCATTTATTTATTTTTGTCTATGTAGTTAACACTTGTATGGTGTTTACTATTAGCCACGTATTTTTCTAACCATAAACATTGACTTAATCCTTGGAGCAATCCTGTGGCCTAGGTATAATTAATGGCTTCAATTTCTAATAATAAAACACAGAGATATTAAGTCCCTTTCCCTACACCTCTGTCTAGCTTGTTACGTGGCAGATACTCTTCACCACTATGCTGTGCCTATATTTTATTTCCAATTATAACCCAACACATGGTATGCCAGCGATTATAGCATATTCTTATTGAATAAAATGTGCAAAAAGGAAGAGTCCTGCAAATCTAGCTCACCCACTGTTGTCGACCTGGTTCCAACTCATCCAACCCTCCATCGGGTTTTTGAGACTGTAGATCTCCACAGGACAAGACTTGCATTCTTTTGCGTGAGAAGCTGGTGCACTTGAACCAGTAGAGAGTACACCACCAGAACTCCTTCTCCTCCAAATAGCTGACCCTAAAGATTGTAGTTTTGAAAACTTTCCCTTATCTTCAACTTATAAACACTTATGCCATTTGTTATACATTTAATTTTTTTAAAAAAAATTTTTACTAGCTTTTCAAAAGTGATTTTTGTTATTTCTGGGACAGTTTGGATATTTTTTGCCTTCTTCCCTTATGAACAGTTCTGCAGAAAGCAACTTCTTATAAAAATCTTGTTTACCTTAACTAATAATTTGATTCATATGTTTCCTGATGCTAATTGTTGGTACACATTTTTCATTACTTATGGCTGAAATGTTATAATTAAGAATTATTTTCTTAAAAATTAAAAAAAAAGAAAGATAAAAGAGAACTCCTTGCCTTTGAGTTAAGACTGTTCTGTGATGCTCCTGGGCTTCTGAGGCTACAGACCACACAGGAAGAGATTGTCCATCTTTCTCCAGAGGAGCCACTGGTAATTTAAACAACCAGTGAGCTGCAGCCTTTGGACTAGCTGTGCATCTTGCTTTAAGACTATACCACTCAAGACGATATTAGATACATTGTTCAGTGTAACATTAACCAATGTTTTGATCAAACAAGAAGTTTTGCCATAACTCACAGCTTTGAGAATTATCCATTTAAAAAATTCAAGATTATTTATTGAGTATTTGTTAGTACTATGTTGTTTGTTTGTGCCTTGCATCTTTTATTTGGGTATAAATGTTGTATGTGTGTTTAATTATACTTCCTTAGGTAACTTTTATGAACATGACTTCTGTCAATCTCAAGGTTTTTAGTGAAACATTTGCATCCTTCCTAAGTCATATATGAGAGACCCTAAGTTGATATTACATCAGATGTATTTGACCCAGAGACCAAAAGCCATCTTTTTTGTACATTTTGAAAGACTTAAATACTTTATTAAAATTGTAGCGTTTCAGCTACCACTGAAAAACTGTGAGGTTTTGTCACATTTTGTCATCCTTATTGGCACAGCCAGTAGCTAGGGCTTCAGCTCCCAGGGTGGATAGTCAAGTACTGTACATGGGACTGTGGTCTCTACCATTGGCTGTTTTTCTTAATCTGTTCTAATCGTCATCATTTGTCTGACATTTCTACAGGCATTAGTTTCTGATAGAAACCCGTTGTTGCATGTTGACCATCATCTGTTCTCTAACACTAATCATTTACACTAGGAACCTGGGTGGCAGAAAGTTAAGCATTCAGCTATTAACAAAAAGGCTGGCACATGAAACCCATCCAGAGACTCCATGGGACAAGAGCTTGATTCTCTGCTCTGGTAAAGATAGAAAACCTCTAGGGAACAATTCTATTTTTTACTGAGTTGAAATTGACTTGATGATACTCAGCAACCACATACCCAGAGATAGAGCTCAGACACATACAATGCATTGTCTTAGTCATCTCAGACTGTTACAACATCAGTTGTAAAAGGTAGCTGGCTTTAACAAACAGAAATCTAGTCTTTCACAGTTTGGGAGGCTAGAAGTTAAAAGTCACAAGTCAGAATGAAGATGGCTCTGAAAGCGAATAAGGAAGTCCCTTCCCCTCCCAAAACTGAAGCCAAAGCAAAGGCATTAAAGGCCAAGAAGGCAGTCCTGAAGGGCATCCACAGCCAAAAAAAAAAAAAGATTTGCAGGTCCCCCACCTTCTGTTGGCCTAAGACGCTGAGACTCCGCAGGCAGCCCAAATCCCCCTGGAAGAGCGCCCCCAGGAGAAACAAGCTTGACCACTATGCCATCATCAAATTTCCCCTGACCACTGAGTCAGCCATGAAGAAGATAGAAGATAACACACACTTGTGTTCACTGTGGATGGCAAGGCCAATAAGCACCAAATTAAACAAACTGTAAAGAAGCTCCATGACATTGATGTGGCTAAAAGGTCAACACTTTGATTAGGCCTGATGGAGAGAAGAAGGCCTATGTTCGACTTGCTCCTGACTATGATGCTTTGGATGTTGCCAAAAAAAATTGGGATCATCTAAACTGAGTCGAGTGGACTAATTATAAATACAAATTTTTCTGACCATTAAAAAAAAACACAAACCAAAGTCACAAGTCAGGGTCTTGTTCTAGGAGAAGGCTTGCTTTTTCTGAAGGTTCTTAGGAAGGTCTGGAGGAAGGTCTTTGTCTCCTTTCAACATCTAGGCCTGGCATTCTTTGAAGATCTTCATGTGCCTTGTAATCATGCTGTTCCTGGATCTAGGCAGTTCACCACACATTCCCTCCTCCTGGTTCCTCGTTCTTAGTGGTACTGAGCCCTGTTCCCCAATCTCTACTGGCTTGTGTAATCTTTTTATATCTCAAAAGAGATTGACTGACTCTATAACCTAATCCTGTAAATTGCATCCTATCTCAACAATGTACCTTCCCTATTCCTACCTCCTTAACATCATAGTGGTTATGATTTACTACAAGAAAAACCAAATGTACATTCTGACTCATGGAGAGCAAATCTCCAAATCTTTATGGGAGCAGATTGCTTTATCTTTCTTTCACAGAGAAAATGGTAATTTTGAAAGTTAGCAGCCCGTCACAACACACTACACCACCAGGGTCTAGGATTTACAATACAAGATAACTATATCCAATCATAAAATGGAGCATAATTACCTAATACTGAGAATCGTATCCTAGCAAAGACTTGACACAATATTTTTTAAATTTTATTTTTGTTTGTGTGGGGATCCATCACTAGCATTACCTGGTCGCATCTGATCACAACACAAGGTGCTTTGGTTGTGAGATGTTAATGCCTTATCTATTTCTTCTGGAAAACGGACTCTACTTCCTGGTCATTATGTTCTCATCTCTACCCTTGGTCCACTGTCCTACATTTTTGTAACTTGGTATCCTCACTGTGGATATTGTTATCTATCAATTCCTAGGTGAAGGAAATTTCCTGTTTGAGAGGTGGAGCATGGAGAAGAGGTGTCTGGGATTAAAAAAAAATGTAAAATACTGTGAAAGATATACAAAACAAATCAAGATGTGAGGAGGTAACTAGAATACCATCACTGATATGGGTGTGGGCTGCCTAACCCCATCGAATAACTTAGTTAGCAGTATTTTAATATATAAAGGTTTCTGGGCATAGAGGGCTTGTTCTTGATAACTAAACTAAAAGTTGGCAGTTCAAACCCATGTAGTGAAACTATGGGGGAAAAAGACCAGGCAGTCTGCTTCCGTAGACATTGTAGATGTGAACGCCCAAGAGGATTGTTCTGTTCATCCTGACTCAGAAGTGGCTTGGTTTGGTTTTGCTTTAATTCAGCAGCCACTGGAGGGCCAATTTATGCTAAGGTGGGCGGCTGCTCTGTGTGTTATGTATCGATACCACTAAATGGGAGACAACAAAGGGAGCTGAAGTATTTGAATATATTCCACACAGATACTGTAGGAAGCAGAGAATAATCCTGAGTTAAAGAGTAAACAGGTATCTTGAGATTCATGATTCAGATTGCCTTCTTTGCAGAAAAGGAAACAAATAAGTTGGCTAAAGTCCCAAGAACATGTTCTGTGCGGGCGAGTTGGAACTGACCCTCCAGTGGGTTTTCATAATTGATCCTCTGATGGACTTCCTGCGACAGGACATCACAGGAGAGGAGATTGTCCATATTTTTCCCTCCGAGAAGCTGATGGATTTGAATTACATGCCTTAAAGTCACCAGTGTGCTCCCTACCATTAAACCACCAGAATTCCTTAATGTCCCAAGAATATGTTGATTTTAGATATTGTCAAATTTAGTGTGATTCATAGTAACCCTATGAACAACAGATCTGAATCTTGTCTGAATCCTGTACCATCCTCATCATCTCTGACATAATTAAACCTGTTTTTGCTGTCATTGTGTCAGTCTGTCTCATCCAGAGTCTTTCTCTGATTCTTCACCTTTCCAAGTATGATGTCACTTTCCAAAGATTAGCCCTTCCTAACAACATGTCCAAAGTATGTGAGGTGCAACTTTGCCATACTTGCCTCCCAGGAGCTACTCTGCCCACACTTTCTCCAAGACATAATTGTTTATTCTTTGGCAGTCTGTGGGATATTTAGTTATCTTCTCCAACACCACAACTCAAAGACATCAATTCTTTGATCCTTTATCTAACTTTCAGATGCATGTTGTTCATTGTTGTTATGTACCATAGATTCAGAACTGACCCATAGCTGATCCCTCTGGTGGATATTCAGAGGCAGTTAATTGCATACAAAAAGATTGCCCTTACTTCTCCCATTGAGCAGCTGGTGGCCTCGAACTGCACACCTTTAGGATTGCAGTGCAACTTGTTGCCACAAGGCCACCAGAGCTCTGTTCAGATGCATAGCAAGTAATTGAAAAGGCTATGGTTTGGATCAGGTGCACCTTTGTCTTTAAACTGACATCGTTGCTCCTCAGTACTTTGGAGACGTCTCTGACAGCCGACTTACCTACTACAACATATCTTTTTATTTCTTAACTTCTGTTGTCAAGAGTGTTTATTGTGGATCTCAATAAGACAAAATTGTTGACAATATCAGTATTTTCTCCAATCTATCATGATGTTGTCTGTTGACCCAGTGGTGAGAATTTTTGTTTTCTTGATGTTGAGATGTAAGACATATTGAAGGTTATGGTTGATATAAGGTTATATATTGATCTTGTGCGAGTGCCTCATAACCTCCTTGCTTTCAGCAGCAAGGTTGTGTCTTGTGCATAATGTTTGCTGTTCATGAGTTTTCCTCCTATCCTGATGCCACATTCTTTCTTGAATGATTTGCTCAGCTTACAGATTGATAAGATATAGAAAAAGTATACGACCCTGATGCACTCCCTTCTTGGTTTTAAACCATACAGCATAATGGCCCTCATTGAAGCTCTTGTAGCACAGGGCGTTGTGTGTTGAACTACTAACCGAAAGATCAGCAGCTCGAATCTATCGCCAAATCCAAGGGAGAAAGATAGACAGCCCCTTGGAGGGTCACGATGAGTTGTAACCAACTTTTGGCTGTGGGTTGGTTTTGTTTTTGGATTTTGTTAAATTGGATCACAACCAGATCTGCTGCTGTTTTCTGCTCAAGTTTGTTCCCTTGTAGAACCTGCTGTTCAGGTAAAGGATAAAGACAAAGCTGAGATGCCGAGTACTCCACCTTTGCCTGATGATGTCTCCTCCATCCCTGTGTGGACAGAAAATTAGCTGCCATTGTGTAGAGACGAGTTGGCCATGATTAGCTCATTTATGTGTGAGGCAGCTGAGAAGCAGACAGATGAATGTCAGAATGACTTGCCCAAGGGAGGTTTCTCCAGGGAAGGTAACTAGGTAACAGGGGGCTGCTGAAAGAGAGAAAGCTGCCGAGTCTGCCACCACAGATATTTCAGCTTCCTACAAAGGAATAGTTATTACAAAGAACATATACAGATAGAGGTATATGGAATCCCTGACCTACATCAAAGTAGAGTATATTTTCAAACTCCGACAACTAAGGGATCACTAGAAATCCTCATCCCTGTTCTGTGCACAATGGCCGTGACTTTCAGGGAGAGTTCAATTTCTCATCCAGCCTGAGTGGGACGTAACAGCATAGATTGAAAGTTTAAAGGAAGAACTTGAGTGACACTGACCAATGGACTATTTAGACACCAAATGTTTTTCTTCTTACATTATAAGCAGCATAGTGATAGTGTCTGTACTGTATATAAAGCTATTGCCATTAATGGGGGAGGAAAAAAGGGGATTATTGTTAGAGTTACATTTAGAAGGAAAAAAAATCATTCCATCTGTTATGTTAAACTCTGTGACTTCCATTATGCTTTTTTGTTAAAATCTCCTAACTTTCTAAGCAACCATAGAGCTAAAGGCACACAATTTCTAGTACACATGAAATTAATACACATCAAAGAAGAAACAGCATTCAGAAGAACCTCCTCAATCCTAAGTTCTTGAAGTCATCAACAGGGGAATCTGAGCTGTTTGTATAGGGAATCTGAAGAGGGAAGCTTTTGGGGGGATCTTGGGGGACTGGTCTATGAAGATTTGCCCATAACTACAAGGATAAACTGCTCTGGTTTGCTTGTTTCCAGTCTTCTCTCCTTTTTTCTTTTCAGAACTCGTTCATGTGGCATAATTAGTTTTCTGTGGTAGAACTCTCAAGCCCTCAGGAAAAAAAATGTTTGCTAACCTGAAATAATTTTCAATTCTGTATGAACCTGGGGTATCTCCCTCTTACCTTTGCACATGGTTCCATATTGCCAGGCACACCTGTTTTCTTTGAATGCCATCCCAACTCACAGAGATGGCTGAGAAAAAGAGTAGAACTTCCATAGAGTTTCCAAGGTTGTAAAGCTTTACAGAAACGGACGGTAACATCTTTTTCCTGAGGATGGGATAACCAATATTTTGGTTAGCAGCTGAGGTCCTAACCAATGTGATAACAGATCTCTTTACTGCCATCTGAGAAGACTATATTTTCAGAATTAATGATTTGCTAGTGTCCTCTGATCCATGGTTGCACATTTCCTTCTATAAAAAGACAATTATGCTAAATAATTACTTGCAGGAATATTCATGCAAATTCTGATTACACAGTTATCATACCTGTGGGTATAACAAAAAAGAACTATTCTTTGTTAAAGTATATAAAACCAAAAGTGGTATGAGTTTTCTGCAGATCATTCTAACATATAAATAAATGTATGGTTGAAACCCAAGTGTGTGAATTTCTAGATTCTCTGCTTCTTGTCTCACTGCAATGCTGGCCTTATTCTAGACATTGTCATTTCTTATTGACTTGTTGAGACAGAGAGGGTCACATTAAAATGGTTACTGTGTTCTAAAATCATTATTTCCTCCAATTCAATCCTAGGCAATAGCTTATCTTTCACCTGAGGACCTTTTGAAGGGAGAAATTGAAGAGTCGCTAGAAAAGGTGCAGGTTGCTCTTCGCGTCTTAACGACTTTCAAAAACTCTTTCTTCAACTATCAGAAGAAACTGGAATGCTATTTCACAAGAGACAAAGAGCTAAAGCCATGGGATTTCCAGTCTCACTTGGTGTTTTGCAGATTTGACAAGTTTCTGGATCGTTTAATGAAAATAGAGGTATTTATGTACCGATTTGTAATATTTTCATAGATGCTTTCAAACATCTTTCAGCTTTTCACATATTTAATGCCACACTTTATTCTGTTTGCTAGATGGGAAGTCCTGACTTGAAGGAGGGCACTAAGCCAGGGGTATAAAGATGATTTGAACAGCTTTAATTTGACTGTTCTTTTGTTAATTTTGATCCCACTATAATGTTAAATTTAAAATAACCTCTCTAGGCAACTGTGCCCCTGGACTTACCACTTACTTCACTTCTGAAAAATGTTGATAAACCAGGATCAATGAATTTTTTTCCCCTTTATATGTTTGGAAATTCACATTTTATTTCTGAAAACCCATTTACTAACATAAAGCAGCTTTGATTCATATATATGTATTTTTTTATACCAGAAATTATATCATTCATGAAAGGGGGAGAACCCCACACAAGTTAATATGTACTTTGTATGACTGTTTTAAAAGTACTTTAAGACAAGCATTGCATGAAAAACATGTGTGCATATATACACGCACACTTTCCTTTTATTTTTAAATTTCTTATTGGTTTGTATTTAGTCATTCATATATATTGTGTTTTATGCATTGCTGTTATTGTTGTTAAGTGCCATTGAGTTGTAGATGACTCATAGCGACCCTATGAACGAAAGTCCTCAGCACTTGTGTCACTTTCATCCTTTCTCGAGGTTCATAGGGGTTCCGGAGGCAAGCTATTTACAGAAATGGAATTACTTTCTGTTTTACGCAATCATTCATATACATTATATTTTATATAATTAAATACTGTTGCTCTATGCCTATTATAAGCCATCTTTTCAAGCCCCCATTACTTCACTCCCTTTACCCCCTCACCTCTGCTACATCAGTGATTTTCCCCCTTCTCTTTTTCTGCCCCTCTTCTCTCCTTTCCCTGTCATACACATTCTTTTGTGGAATAAACTGGTTAAGGTTTTTAAAAAAATAACGTTTAGACTGATAATACTGGCTATTTGTAAACTCTTTCCAGTAATCTTGGTATTTTTAATAAGATTTACTGAATGTCATTGAAAATTGGAGCTTTACATTTCAAAAACTGTTATTCCTTAATCTACCTTAGTCCTTGCTTCTTAAAATCTCTGGGTGATAAATGTCTGATGAAGGGCAACTTACATCTCATGTTCATAATAATCTTTTGGGCTCCTTTTTAATTATAAAGCTTTGATGGTGATCTGACTTATGACTTTAAAAAAAATAAAACAACTCTGTCATTAAATTGTCTTGGTCTCATGGTAACCATCCATCAGGTTTCAAAGTGGAGAATCAAACATATCACCTTTAGGTAGGCAAACCCACTGCACCACGAGGGCTCCCTGACTTGGGATTCAGCAACAAAACGGCAACTCATTGCTGTCAAATTGGTACTGACTTATAGCGGAATCTGCAGAGGTTTCCAGAAGCTGTATATCACATGGGACACATTGCCCATATTTCTCTCACAGGGCAGCTTGTGGGCTTGTACTGCCTTCCAGCCTTTGGAAAATAATTAGAAGGATATAAAAATTAGGTTATATATCTAGCTCTGTTAAGCTGGATGTTTCATGAACTGTGAGAGAGTTTTTAGAAAATAAGACAGTGGGATTTAATATTGGCAATTAGAAGTTATTTAGGTCCTTTGAATCATTAATTTTTCCATCATAAGAATGCTCATTAACTCACAAATTGTGAAAGTTTGAAAATATTCTGTCTTTGACACTTAGAAATAATCTCTAACTACTCAATTTGATGTTCACATCTTTACTATGTTTTTACAAAGGACATATTTGACACCATACTGGAATTTGAAAAGCTGGAACGACTTGAATTTGGTGGTACCAAGGGAGCAATTTTAGATGAACAAGTTTACAAGATGAGTGAAGAGTTTGTGGAACTTTGTCAAGTTTTTAAACAGAGCACATATGACCCATCTGATTATAGTAACATGGTAATACTATACCTTTAATTTTTCTATTATAGAGTTCTGTTTGTTTAAAGCTGGCAGGGAGTATAATGAGTACTACCCAGTCCACGCTGTCCAGAACTGAAGGGCGTACATTGACTGGCCTAGCCTCTCTTGGCTACCTAGTGGTCAGTCATGAACCAAGACTTGGGCCTTGCCTGTTTAGTAAAGACCTGTATCTAATATAACAGTGGACTTCAGTCTGGATGTGTTTCTTATTTATGTTTATTAAAAATTACAACTTTAATTCCTTTTCATCTGGTTATCTGATCTACATGTAATATGCATGTGTTATTTTAACATTTCCCTGAATGATTTGCTGTTACTTTTTTTTTCCTATTTGAACATTTGGTTTGACTCTGTTACATATATTATTTAAAAGCATGCAGCTGTTAACAGTTTTTAATTGTTATTCTTGATAGGTTTTAAAAATTTCCCATTTCCCATTTAGGAGGTGGGGGGGGGGAGCTTCCTAATTTAAGCTGCTTTTATTCTGTGTCCCTTCTAGTATGTAAGTTATCATGTAGACTTGTGAGCATTCCTGCAGCTCAAGATAAAAATAGCTTAATTTTAGGGGTTTGCCAAGAGCAGTGACACTGGGGCACACAAAGAGGGTGTAGCTGATCTCCTCATTGTTTTGTATGGAATATGAATTTAGTCACTGTTATGTTTATAGTTAGCTGAGTAATTGATTTCTTTCCAAAATGTGTGAGAACAATATGTTCGTTGTAGAAAAGATGGTTAACAAACTTAAACATACACAGTTGCTGTTGAGTAAGTAACTTAAGGTGGCGCCGTGTGTGTTGGAATCAAACTGTGCTCCTTGGGTTTCCAAGGCTGACTTTTTTTCCTTTTTTTACACAAAAATTTTTATTTACAAAATTCTAATACAAATTCAAACAAATTTTTTTCAATTTCCCTCACTCTCCCACCCATCAAATTGTACAACCCAATGATTAATCCTCTCTTCCTCCTGTACATCTACATCCCTCTGCTTCCAGCCTCTCCCACCCCTCCTGGATCCTAATACTCATTCTACAATAATGGTCTTATACAATATTTATTCAGAGCTTGATGGCCAGATCTCTCTCACGATGCCTTTGGTTAGCAGATGAACACTTAACTGTTTGCACTCTTCCTCTCAACTGTAGTCCGGTCTTGGCAAGTGGAGTTAATGGTAAAGGATGCTTTACACATTGCTAGGGACTCCTTGCTTTGTCGACAAGCAGTTGTGGAAAAGGAGGAGTAACCTAGGAGCAAGATGATGACCAATCAGAGCTCATCCCCAGAGTCTTGTAAAATGTCTAGTATCCGGGAAGTGTCTGCTGACTCATGAGATTGTCAGGGAAGGGCCCTTGGGTCACAGGAAGAGGAAGATTGTGGGTGGAGCCTACATGAGGTGCTCAGGTGTGTTTGCTTAGCAGATGCCACTGTGTCACCACTACCAGTTTCCTTTGAGTTGAGTCCAACCCCTAACAACTCTGTTGTGTCAGGAGTGGAACTGTGCTCCATAAGACATGTGAAGGCTGATTGGGTGGAAGCTTAGGGGCCTTTCTGAAGTGATTCTGGGTGTTGACTTGAGCCTCCAGCCGTTCTTTTAGCAAAACAGGTTAACTCTTTGCACCACCCCTGGGATGTCACTTCCTTGGCAGTGCCCCAAATCCCAGTTCTACCCATCTTTTTTTTTTTCTCTCAAAGCCTGCCCAGGCATAAACAAAAAAGAATAGAAAAAAATATCTATTTTCTCTTGCCGTATAGATCTGCTTCATATTTAAAAAAGATTTTAGGGGGTCCATTTTACTTTGCAAATGGGTTAGATAGATCTAGGTTGGAGACAGCAACACCTTGATCTTGCAGCTCCCATCCAAATGCCTTGTTCTTGCAGCTCCCGTTCATCCTCCTAGATAGTAAAAAGATTCTAGAAGCTCCGGTGTGAGGCCATTCTTTAAAATGAAAACACAAGTTAGTGAAAGTTCAGTTAATTGGTACTTGTGTTCAAGAAGACCTTTTCTTCTTTCCTTACCATTGTCTTCTTGTTATGTGCCGTTGAGTCACCCACAGCTCATAGCGACCCTAGGTACAGCAGCTCTGAAGCCTGTCCTCTCCTGCGCCAGTCTCACTGACTCTAACACACCCTCACTGCCCCAGTTACTGTATCAATCCATCTCATCCAAGGTTTTCCTCTCCTGCACTGTCCCTGCATCCTTCCAAGCATGATGTCTTTCTCCAAGGACCGGTAGGTCCCTTCTGGCCACGTGCCTAAAGTCTATAAGACGGAGCTTCAAAATCCTTGCCTCCAAGGAGAAACTTGATTTCACCCTCTCCAAGCTGACCTGTATGTTCTTTTGGTGGTCCATGGTATGTTTAATACTGTTCTCTCAGACTATTGCGTATTATTCCTTAAATAAGCTGTTCATTTTTATGCCATTAGTCGAGTTCATTGTATTTTAGTTTTGTGATGAAATCCAGTTGGTAATTTTTATGGGACAATATTTTACATTCACATGTGTGTACATACATGTACCCATCCCCCAGATCCACCCCCTTTCACTGCAACCATCCTCTGTGTTCCCCCATTCTTATGGGTTGCTGCTTGTTCTTGTTATATGCTGTACAGTCCTGACTGACTGGGTCAAAATCCGACTTGCCAGCAGGTTTTCAGAGATTGCAAACTGCAAAGGATATGATTGCCCATCTTTCTCCCACATGTGTTACACGTTAGAGGCTGTCGAGTTGAGAATGTCTCACAGAAACTCTTGGAACAACAGACCTGAATTCTGTCCAATCCTATGCCATTCTCATCATTGCCCTGCTGCAGTCATTTTATCGATCTACCTCATTGGGGTCTTCCTTTCTTCCACTGACCTTCCACCTTTCCAAGCATAATATCCCTTTCCAAGGAATAGCTCAAAGTATGTGAGATGAAGCTTCACCATCCTTGGCTTCAAGGAGTACTATGGCTGCATCCTACCATAATCAGTCTTCCTACATTTTAATACAGAAATAGTTTAAATGTCTCAATAAGTTAAAAGAAGAATTTGTTTCCATTTTAAGCACCCTCAAAAGTAACCATAGTTAAAATGTTTTGCTGGAAAATTCTACCTAATATTTAGAAAGAAATTACATCAACTGTGCATCATTTCTTCCAGAAAATTGAAGAAAAATGGCCACCTTGTGATGCATTACATAAAACAAGAATTACCTTGATACCAAAACCAGCTGACACAGTGCAAAAAAGACAACTGTGGACCAGTAACCTTTATAAATATAGATGCAAAAAAAACTCCTTAGTTATTAGCATCTAGACTTCAACAATATATAAAAGAATTGCTACAAGTTGATTTATCCCCCACAGCTTAATATTTGAAAACTAAGGAATCTCATAATTGTATTCTGCAATAATATGGAAAAAGTGCTTATAAAATTCAACACTCATTCTTGAAAAAGAATAGTTTAATAATAATAATAAAAAATAATAGACGTATACTTTCTCAACTTGAATAAATACCTCTTCCAAAAGCTTACACCTAACCATATACTTGGTAGTAAAAAATATTTCTTAATCTCAAACATATATTTCCAAATAGCTATTCAACATGTGATATTAACAATACTGTTTGATAATTTCTGGACTCTGTTGGGTCACCTTTTTTTATGAATGGGAACAAATACAAATATCTTCCAGTCAGTTGGTCAGGTGGCTGTCCTCTAAATTTCCTGACACAACTCAGTGAGCATGTTCAGGGCAGCGTCTATTTGTTGAAATATTTCTGTTGATATGCTGTCAATTCCCGGGGTCTTGTTTTTTGCCAATTCCTCCAGAGCAACTTGAACTTCTTCCTTAATCACTACAGTCTCTTGCTCACACATTGTTTTATGAAATTCTTCATCAGCCAATTCTTTTTGGTACAATGACTGTATAGTCCTCCTTCCATATTTTTTTTAATGCTTCCTGGATCATTTAATATTCTGCCCAGAGCATCCTTAAGTATTGCAACTCCCAGCTTGAATTTGTTCTTCAATTCCTTCAGCTTAAGAAATACTGAGCAAATTCGGCCCTTTTAATTTTCTGACTCTAGCTGTTTGCATATTTCATTATAATGCTTTGCTTTGTCTTTCTAAGCTGCCCTTTTGAAATCTTCTGTTCAGCTCAACTTCTTGATTTCTTCCCTTTGCTTTGGCTTATTGGCATTCTAGTGCAATATTCAATATCTCTTCTGACATACGTCTTGGTCTTTTCTTCCTCTTCTATCTTTGCAATGACCTTTTACATTCTTTGTGGGTTATATTCTTTGATTTGTGGTGCTGAAAGAGTATTGAATATACCATGGACTGCTAGGAGGACAAACAGGTTTGCCCTGGAAAGGGTGAAACCAGACTGCTTAGAGGCAAGGATTTTGAACCTCTGTCCAACAGACTTTGGGCATGTTGCAAGGAGGGACCAGTCCTTGGAGAGGGACATAATGCTTAGGAGGGTGGAGGCACAGTGCAAGAGAGGAAGACCCTGGCTGAGATGGATTGACTCAGTGACTGGGGGAATGGGAGTAGGTTTATCAGGGACGATAAGGTTCGCTCAGAATAGAGCAGAGTTCAGAGCTGTTGTATATAGGGTTGCTATGAGTCATAAGAAACTCGGAAACACATAACAACAAAAACAAAAACTTAACCCTTGATTTACCACCTCCTCAAACCTATTCCTCTCTGCCTTCCCAACCTCATTAAACTGCACTAGACTGTTGTTGTTGTTATGTGCCATCTGTAGGGTGTAGAAGAAATCAGGGGCATAGGTAATATGTGAGTTAAACAGAACCCATTGTGGCATCTCTAATATGCTGCCACCCCCCCCTTTTTTTTTTACTCAAAACAAACATAAATTTTACCAGAATACCTTGAAAATCAATCCAGGACCAGACTGTCTTTCACGTTCCAATTAGATTGCCCTCATCTCTGACGTGGATATTGCGTTTGTCTGTACTGCTCTCACTGTCTGTCTCAATTCCTGTAGAGACAGTTATCCATTCAGCTGCCTGAATAAGCCTTTTAAAATCTAAGTCAAAATATGACCTTTCTCTAATCAAAACCTATCAATGCTTTCTCAGGTCACAAAGCAAGTCAGTTTTCAGAATGTAGAAACAATGATTTTTTAAAATAATAAAATGACATCATCTATTGTTCATGATGCATTTATGAAGATATAGCTATGCCTGGGTGCCCTATTAAATGTTTGTATTATAACTGTGAAAAAATTATACTTAGCCCTTATAGAATTTAAAATCTAGTGGGAAAACCAGGTATACGATTGTAAGATAGTGTATAAAGTGCTAGTGTGAAAAGTACTATGTGTTACGAGAGCCCTTTGAAAAGGGCCCTTCTCCAGCGGGGATGATAAGAATAACTGAAGAACACATAGGGATGAGTTAAGAGAAGTGTAGATGGAAGCAAAGAGATAAGCAAAAATAGTTCTATTTTAAAAAGAATGTAATTGGCTAGATCCTGGCATGTGAAAGTGGGCGAGGGAGAACAGTTGTGGTGTAGTAAGGTGCTGACCAGGACTCTATAGATTATGCTGAGACTTTTGAATGTCATCCCAACAGTATTGAAGAGGCTTTGGAGGATTATGAGCATGAGGGTGACAAGGTAGAATGTATACTTTCCAAAGATCATAAGGCTGTCATTTAAAGAATGAATCGGAGGGACAAGCTCAGAGGCAAAAAGATCAGTTAAGAGAAATCCAGGTGAGCAGCCGTGGTGATCCAAACCAAGTTACTGTATGTGGAGATGAAGAACTGCCCTTAATCAAGGTATGGGGGAAGCGGCGGAGATTGACAACTGGATGGATAATGAAAGGAGTCAAGGAGATTGCCCAAGTTTCTCTAAGAAGATGATCAATTTTTTTCTTGTCATAAATATATTTTGTTGTTATGTGCCATCCAGTTGGAATGGCTCACAGCTGACCTCCAGCAGGTTTTCTGAGGATAGAGGTAGCAAAATAATTTCCATCTCACCAGTCTTCACATAAACAGTCCAGGGACACAATTGATGTTTGCCATTTTGTTGAACCATCACCACTAACCTTTCCCAAATATATTCCATCACCTGTGCTAAAAACGGAAAAGCAGAGCAGCCTTATTGAGATCATGTGTTCTGATTTGTACAAGTTTGACTTCCCTGTGGGACATAACAGGGGAAGTTGTTTCCCTGGAAGTTCTTAATGTAGGTTTCAGGAGTTAGGAAATGCGTGAGAGTGAGGTACCAGGGATGGCAGTTGACACTTTTTTCTTCTTCTCTGGGCTCCTTGCTTATTTATTAAGTATTCAAGTAATGTTTGCAGATCTTAAGTGGTATTCTCTTTGTTACCAAACCAAGAAGAGGAATAAATTAGGCTTGTTACAACTTGTTGGCAAATTTGGTTTACTCTTAAAAGTCAGTGATCCTTGAAGAGACTATTTGGCTGTAATTCAGGAGAAATAGAGACTTCCTTTTGATGCTAAATATAGCATTGCATTGTATGCTAGCTGGAGTGCTGGAACTTTGTTTCCAGGATTTGTGAAATTGGGAGTGTATGCTTTGAAGCCAAGTTGCCTGGTTTTAAATCCTAGTGTTGCCATTTACACATGGTGTGACCTTGGACAACTTCTCCGAGTTGTTTTCTTACCTATATTAAGTTCACTTTCCTATAACATTATCTACATTATATTTGGGGAGCATTTGTGTGGAAGACCTGGCCTCAATTCCTGGTTAGTGTACCTCATGTGTAGCCACCACTCATCTGTAATGAAACACCACTCATCTGTAATGTGGCCATGAAACTGAACTGAAGATTTCAGCAAAGCTTTCAGGCTAAGACTAGGAAGAAAGGGCCGGTGATCTGCTACTAGTACCAGCCAATGAGAAACCCAAGATCACATGGTCCAAACCACAGCTAATTATGAAGATGGTGCAAGATTAGGTGGCATTTCCACCCTTGAATATATGGTCTCTACTTCATGACAACACTATATATATTCTTGTAAGAATTGAGTTAATAAAGTAGAAGTTTAAAAATAAAATAAATATTATCCATCATCATCTTTATCACTGTTACTATTCCTAGGTAGAGGCTTAGCTCTTGGGGGTTACCAGGCTTTGCATCTGTGTTGTATATCCACTTGACTACAAAGCACCACAATGTTTCTGAGACTTCTTCACTAAGAACTGTGAACGTGATAGTTATTCTTACACCGTTTCAGTCTTTCTAATTATGGGAGTGGGTGGATATGTACTAGGAGGAAACTGGGGGTTGTAAATGGCATATTAATAAGAAACTGGGAAAATGTCAGAGTATTTGATTTCCTCTGTTTTGCCAATGACGCTTGCTTATAGACCTGTGGATTTTTTGTTCTCATCTAAAAAAAAAATTGTACGCCTGTGAATGTTTCTGCTCCATGAAAAGCAAAGTCATTTCTAGTTCAGTACACGTGCACATGCATGTACACCCACATCCCTCAAGGAATTAATGAGGACAGTTGTGGTTTTTCATTTTCAGAAAAAAAAAACCCAAACAAACCCAAAAACCAATTTTTTCCCCCCATTTGTAATCAAAATGAGTTGGGAGGAATGGGACAGATTCAGATGTGACCTTAGGGGCTAAGCACTGTTACTGAGCCTGGGAATAGTGTAAATCATTTAAGCTTCTCTAAGAAGCTGCCCCTTAAAATTTCAGTTCCATTTACCTCTTTCTAGAGCCTCTCTGGGATCTTGTGATAAAAATTAATTTCTAGAGAGGGGGGGAAAATGTCCATGCTGATGTGATAGTTTGCTTTCACTGTTGGATTCTTCCCTATAAACTGATGTATTATTTTGTATTTTGTAGGAATTTGAAGATGATTATATTGTTTTTAAATCCAAAATTCTGGATTTTGACAGAAGACTTGGAGCAATTCTTTGTGAAGGATTCTTTAACTGCAATGGTTTAGAAGCTTCATTTAAGGTTAGTTGTGGAAAAAAAAATCATAAAAATGTTTTACTATTTACTAATTCAGAGTGTAGGTGAAAAGGGTGAACACATTTTTTTATGATCCAGGTGGAATATTAACCAGTCACGTTTTCTTCAAATCCCACTCACTGAATAATAAACTTTGAATATTATACTAATAAATTATAGTGCTTGCTTTGGACAAAATAATTTTTAGGATACTGAATTATTGATATTTCCTTGCTTTCTCATTATTTCAGGTCTTATTCTTTTTATATTACATGTGACATGGTCTATGAGATATTGATTCAAAATTAAGTACTAGTGAAAAGGTAAAGCTATATTAACCCAGGAATTTATTTTCTTTACATATGTTGGGATCACATATTTTTGAATGTATGATGAGTTCAGATGCCCATTTTATTACTTTGACTGGAACAAATAGGGTTTTTTGATACAGAGTTTACCTGGTTTACAATGGGACTCTTTATGACAATTTATTAAGCATGATAACTTATTAGCAGGCTTCAGAACTGTTATACATAGGGCACTATGAATTGCAGGTGATTCGGCAGCACATTGTAATAACAACAGTAATTGACTATTTTGTGGTAAGTGGGTTCTGATGTAAGTCAAATACTTTATTTTTTTAAGAAAAGTTTTATGATTATTTTATTGTTAGCATCTTTAGAAATCCAGCCTCATCTTTGGGGCCTGGGAATATTGCATATGGATTTACAGTTATATTTCAATACAAATATATATAAAAAATAAGCCATAAAAATTGCTCTAATGATCAGGGAAAAAAATCACATAAGATTGGCAATTGCAGAACTAACTCCACTTGTAGAAGATTCTGGATCATTTAGCTTATCCTTGGGAGTGGAGATAGTGACTGTAGAGTTATTTGCATGGGTTTTTTCCACTTTTTCCTTTTCCAGGATAATTTCTCACTGCTTCCTGAGTCTGCCTGTCAACTTTAACAAAGCATTCAGCTTTTGGGACCTTGTTTTCAAGCAATTAAAGCATCTGATTTAGTTTAGAAAAAAGACAGCTGTGTTGCTAAGAGTTGCAGGCAGCTGATGGCACATAATAATGACAAGAACCCTTTACTGATGGTGTAATCCATAGGGAAGTTGTTTTACTAAACCAAAAGCTGCATTTCAGAGGCAGTTCGAATCCTCCACTGGCTTCTCAGGACACAGATGGACAGTCTCCTCCCATGCAATTTATATTCTCCACTAAACTGCTGGAGACTCAGGTGTGGGTCAGTTCCAAACTGATAGCACCGAATGTGATTTTTTTTTAGTTTTGAATCCTTTACTGTAATATTTTTGAATTCTCTTTTTCCCCCTCACTTTTTCTTTAACGTGTTTTCGTTCTTCATGGTCCATCATGTTCTGATTTGTCAATTCCTCTTCTTCCCCCACCCCCCTTTTTTTTAAACTGAGATTTTAATGAAAGTGCATAAAGAACTTGGATTTTCAATCCTTCGTTGTTGCACATTTTCCTCCCTGCCCTGCCTCTTCCCAGATCACTTTTTTGTTTATGTTAAACAGCTCCCTCCGCCCCAGATCACTTTACTGTGCAGCTCTTATTCTGAACTCTTGTCATGCCAGTAATACCTAATCATATATTTCTTTTATACAGTTCTCTCCCTCATCTGTTTCAATGCCATGTACATTAATTATCCCCTCTTTTCTTGGTATCTCCCCAACCGCCATGTCATTCCTGTTTTATAACAGTGGGATTATGCCATATTTGTCTTTTTGTGACTGAGAAATTTCACTCAGCAGAATGTCCTTCATGGTCACCCATTTTGTATAATATTTCATGAGTTCCTTGTTTTTCAGTGCTGTGTAATATTCCATTGTGTGAATACACCACAGCTTTTCTATCCATTCTTTTGTTGATGGGCACTTGGGTTGTTTCCAACTCTTTGCTATTGTGAACAAAGCAGCAGTAAACTTGGGTGTGCATCAATTCCACTTCTTAATTGTCTGTTCATATTGTATTATCACATTCTAAAAGAGGTGGTTTTGCCATATGGACATTTTCACCCACCAGTCTCCTCCATCATTTATCCTGATCAAATGTTTAGAGCATGTACATGTAACTCAAGCAATTTTTTCCAGTATTCCTTGTGTGAATTTTCCTATAGCTTTTCCAGAAGATGCACTATTGCAGATACACTGATTATAGTGTTTATTGTAACTTGTACATTAAGGTAGGGACTAGCTGACATATTTTATCAGATATTGAGACACCTTTGATTATACTGTAATACTGTATATCACTAAAGAAAAAAATGCTGCCAAATTATTATTATGATATATAATGCATTCTAATTTCAGAAAAGTTACAACATAAAGCATTATTTATTTAGAGTTGATGTAAAAGAGTATATGTGCAATAAAAGTTGCATACAGTGACAGCATCTTGATAATATCCCTATAAAATCTTGAAAGTGTTACCATGTGCTTGGAGAAAGAATTGTAAGTGCAGAGTAAATGAATAATTAGGTGATATTACCCTTCCCTTGCTCCCTAGAAAGGGTTAATGGGCACAATAGCAGACACATACTTTATAGAGGATGTCTAGGATGCCTAAGTTTGTCCTTCAGATTTAATGAATTGATCACACAGTGGTCAGGGAAGCTAGTTAGGGTCCAATTTCTTGGATTATTTGCTCAGAATACAGATTGAATGGGTATGGAGAAAAGGATACAACACTGACACACACCTTTTCTGATTTAAAACAATACAGTGTTCCCTTCTGTTTGGACAACTACTTCTTGGTCTTTGTGTAGGTTTTACAGTGAACACAAGTGTTCTGGGATTCCCATCCTTCTCAATGTTGGCCATAATTTGTTATGAGCCACATAGTCATATGTCTTTGCATAGTCAATAAAACACAAGTAAACATCTTTCTGGTATTCTCTGCTATCATTTAAGAGCCATCTGACATCAGCAATGATGTCCTTGTGCTATGGCCTCTTCTAAATCCAGCTTACAGAGCAAGAAAAATAAAGTTACCTAGAAAGAGAAACAATTAGAATAAGTTCTAAATCCAGCTAAAATTTCTGGCACTTCCCTTTCTACGTAATGATCCAGCTGATTCTGAAGATTTTCAGCAAGATTTTACTTGGATGTGATAATGATACTGTTTGATAATTTCCACATTCTATTGGATCACCATTTTTGAGAAACGGAACAAATAATGGATCTCTTCCTGTCAGTTGGCCAGGTAGTTGCCTTTCAAATTTCTTAGTGTAGACCAGTATGCATATCCAGGGTTGCATCCATTTTTTAAAACATGCCAGATGGTATTCCATAAACTCCTGGGGCCTTATTTTTTTTTTTTTTGCCAGTCCCTTCAGTATAGCTTCAATTTCTTTTTCATTACTATTGGTTTCTGATTATATTCTATTTTATCAAATGGTTTAGTGGTGAGCAATTCTTTTTGGCACAGTTACTCTCTGTATTCCTCCAGTTGTTTTGATTCTTCCTGCATCATTCAAGATTTTGCTTAGAGAATCCTTAAGTTTTGCATCTCAAGGTCTAAAATTTGTTCTTTAGTTCTTTCTGCTTGGGATATGACAAGCATGTTTCCCCTTCTATTTCCTATATCCAGTTCTTTGCACATTCCATTATAATACTTTGTCCTTGTAATTGGCATTGAAGTCTCCTATTCATTTTTTTTCCTTCAGCATTTCTTGCCTTCTTTTTGGCCTTATTATGTTGTAGTGCAATTTTCAATGTCTCTTCTGATGTCCCTTTTGGGATTTTTTCCTCTCCAGTCTTTGTGGTGGACTTTTCTTGTATGAGTGGTGACCAAAGCCCAAGATGTGAGCCAGGTCACAGATAACACCTCTTTTGGCCTACGATGTGTCAAAGGTATGTCAAGAGGTGGGGCATCCAGACTGGAGAAGAGTTTCTTCTGGCCTCAGAGGAGCTTGGGCTTGTCTGACCTCCTGCTGAGAAATGGTGTCTTTGTCAGTTTAGGGAATAGGTGCAGGCAGGATACTCAGTCAGAGATGGCTAGTGTAGAGAGACAGTCTCTGCTGACCTGACATGTTCACATGTGGTTATATGTGGCCTGAGTGTATGTCAGATAAACGTGTCCACATAAGAGGGAAGAGTCACAGTCTGTGGAGGTGCCCGTCTAATCGGGAGGCTCATGGAAGACCAGGGGCTCTGTTAGGAATGTTCTGAGAGCGCCAGAAACAAAATAAGACAGCAGGCACATGGTCTAGGGGGCACATGAGGTAGGGAACCGGTGGGGAAATACTACCCATTGCCTGTTGAGTGGTGGTGGCATGGGTATGAGAGAGAAGGGAGTGACTGAACCTCTTGCAGCTATGTGGATACTGCTGCTGCCACCATCCACCTGAGTGGAGTTTTACTTATATGGATTGTTGTTGTTGTTATATGCCGTCGAGAAGCTTGCGACTCATAGTGACCATATGTACAACAGCCCTAAACTCTGCTCTGTCGTGTGCCAGT